CGAGCGGCCGGGCCGCGCCGCGGGATGTTCTGGAAACGCCGCGAGCGGCGCGTGTCCAGGTGAGCGCTGCCCGCTCGGCCGCCCCGTCAGCGGCGGGGCCGGGCCGCCAGCGGGGGTCGCGGGAGCTGTGTCCTGCCCGCCGGGCCGAGGGTGGGGGCCGGAGCCGGGTCGCGCCGCCCGCCGCGCGGACCGGGCCGCAGCCCCGCGCCCCGCTCCCCGTTTCCCACCGCCCGGCTCCTGCCCCGCCGCCCGCGTTTCCGAGCTCGGGACGCCCTTCCTGCCGGTCGCTCGGCCCGGCCGGGCGGGGCCGGGAACTCGGCGCCCTTCCTGGTCCGGCGCCCCGGGAAGCGGGGCCTGACCCCGGGGCGCCGCGCCTGGGGCGGGGGCCTCGGCCGGGCCCTGAGCGGTCCGTTCTCCTCCCGAGAGGGCCGGGCGCTGACGGTCTAGCCAGGCCGGGTCCGGGTCGGTGCCCCTAGGTAGGCTGTCGGACCGGAACATCCCTGTCGAACCTGCCTTGTTTTTCCTCAGCAGCCGCAGAGACCCGCGGTAATTAGTTCACTAACTCAACAAGCGGACCGTTCCGTGTGCCGGAAACTGCGAGGAGCTGCTAGCCCAGGGGGGAGCGGACCAGAAGACCCGAAAGCCCCGGCCCAGAGCAGTATGGTGAGTGCTGCGTTGGTCGGGGTCACGGCTATGGGCACTTGGCAGAGGACTTCCTGGAGGAGGTGATGTGCGAGCTGGAGTGGTCAGACGAAGGCTTTCAGAAGGGTCAGGTGGACGCAGGGACAGATTGGTGAGAGCAGACCCTGGCTGCCATTATGCCCTATGCCACTCTAGTGGAAGCGAGGTGACGGGGAAGGGGCGCTTTGAGGGATTGCCCGTGAACCCTGTCCACAGGGGCTCGGAGTGAGAGCATGATGCCTGTGGAAGGTGCCCGGTGAGCCCTTGCAGCCTGAGCCGGCGTCTTCTGCCTCAGGTGTTGCTGGGCAGCGCAGGTGTGCCGCTGGTCTCTGTGTTCTAACCTGACAGTTTTATATGATGCAGGAGAGCACTGGGGTCCCTCCCAAGACTGAGAGTGTTGTCTTTCGCTGTAGGGGGACGCCCTGGATCTGTGCTTCCTGATGCAGACCTTCTGGGGCTTGACCAGCCCCGGTCTTCTTGCAGGAGATCCTGGCCCTAAGAGCAAGGGTTGGGGGATGTCAGTTTGTAGCTCGGGGCATTCTCGTATGTCCCAGGCTTTGCAGAGATCCATAGTCCACCTAAGAAGGTATAGGACATTTTTGTAAGCTGCTGCTTGTCCTCAGCGTGTATCACGTCTGAGACGGCAGCCTGCGTCATTTAGTTCTGTGTTAAATGCACTAGGATTTCCTTTGGCTTGTGCTTGAACCGCCCAGGGCGCAGTCTCTCCCTGTGGGTCAGGGCCTCAGGGCCCAGCTCCCTGTGTGCTTCTCCCCACTCACGGGATGTTTGGGCTTTGGATTCTTTTCTTCTGGTGCATTTTTGTCCTCACACGGCCAAGAGGGTCCGCAGTGTGGCCCAGCCAGTGAAGCCACGTAGCAGGGATGGAGTGAGTTGGCTGGGGGCCTTCTTCCAAAGGTGTGGTCATGCTGGACCACCCTCTTCTCAGGGAGCTCAGCAAGCAGACACGGTGACAGCTGAGCGAGGGCATTGTCTGTGGCTTGTGATAGACCCTTCTGTTCTGTCACAAACTGCAGTGGGGTACCCAAGAGAGTGCTTGCTTTGCCGCTGGTTTAGACCGGCCTCAGCTGATCCTCGTTCATTCCCTGAGTACCCCCTGCGTGCTTGGCTTCTGCCGAGGGTGTGCCTGGGAGGTGGCTGAGGCCCTGTTCTTGCCTGTGGGTAGTTTACAATCTCTGAGATTGCTGCTCCACACTGGCGGCTGGCCAGGTGCAGGGAGGAGCCCGGCTGTGAGTGCTCATCAGAGGGAGAGACTGCGTGGGTGCCGCGCTGAGGAATGAGTGGGGAGAGGGAACCTAGGGTCTTGTCATTTCCTGAGAAGGCCTCCTTTTTCGAGTCTGCCCTCCCACCTCCTTGGGGGGCCTGAGGCTGGCTGCAAGGCCTTGGCGGACTTGTGGCCACGCTGGCCGATAGTGTGTGGAGGGCTAGTGGGTGTGTCCCCGGCTCTTGGGATCTGTCAAGAGTTTAATTTTCTGCAGATGGAGGTTGGCAGGAAAAGCCGCGCAGCAGGCACGTGCAAGCCCAGCAGAGTGCTGGCGTGAGAGCTACACGCTGCAAAAGTCGCTCTTATCTAGCGGTTGACTTTTGAAGTGCCCTAGGGGTGGGACATCAGCCTATCCTAGAGCAAGGAGGGCCGGTGGGTCCTGCGGTCTGTGGTTTTTATGTTAGGGACATGGGATGAGGGATAGAAGGACAGTTTTTATTCTCAGAGCAGAGGGGAATGAAAGTCTGGGCTAGACTTCTTGGAGCCCTACAAGAGAGTTTTTTGTCCAGTTGGTTCATCGCAGGGCACAGGATTAAGTGTGTGCGGAGTATGCTGTCCGGCTCAGATGGAATGTCTGGGCCTCGTCACACGCCAGCGTTTGCTCTAGACCTTGCAAGAAGTACTTGCTGGAGTGTGGCCTGGCGCTCCCGAGGGCCAGGGTGTGGTGGAGATCCTCAGGCCGGGTACCTGTAGGAGCCTGGAAGGAGCAGGTCAGAGTCACAGAAGTACCTGAGATCCGAGAGTGTCGGTCCAGCCCCCTGCCTTTCGCAGAACTTTCCTCGGTGAGCTTGAGAGCCAGCGACTGGCCAGGTGCAGGGCTGTGTCCTGACGGTCAAGGTGCCGCATCACACCTGAGTCCAGCCTCTCCTGGACTGAATGTTTCATCCCCTCCAGCTCTCCCTGGACGTGCAGATTGCTCAATTTCTGCCTTGTTTGCACCTTCTTCCTCACCCAGGACTTGACCGACGAGGGCTGGGCAGTCGGCTGCGTTGGGTCCAGTGATGTTTCCCTGGTGTCCCGAGTGCTGATGATTGGCATAAACTGTACCTGGTGCTGGGCTGCCCACTGACATCTGTTACCTTGCTCAGTCCTCACAGCAGCCCCATGAGATACAGGTCCTGATATTGTCTCCACTGTATAGATGGGGAAACTGAGGCTCAGAGAAGTCTGTAACTTGTGCAAGGTCACAAAGCCAGGAAGGGGTGGTAGAGCTGGGACTTAGCTCTGGGTCTGTCTGAGCCCAGGGCAGGTGTGCCTGCCCGCTGGACTGCGCTGCCTTGCCCCGAGCTTGGCCGGGTGCTTATCTGCGAGAGCTGCGATGTCTGCTGTACCAGTGACCGCCCGCCTGAACTCAGGGTGCCATGTGCCACGTTTCCTGGGTCCATGTTGCTCTTCTCCTTCTGGTGTCGTCCAGCCAGGCACGTCAGCTTGCTTTGTGAACCTTTGGGGTAACCCGTGATAAAGCCCTTAACCTGGGCAGGCATGTTCTGCCAGCGCCTCGTGCTGTAAGGCGGCAGCTGTTACTGGCAGGATCGGGTGGCAGCAACATCCAGCAGAAAGTGTGTTTTGGGATCGAGTCTCGGTTCTGTCGCTGATTTGCCGTCAGGTGTCAGGTGTGTAGGAAAACCTCTCTCAGCCTCAGTTATCTGTCTTTTATATTTATCTTCCATCCGCAATGGAGGGGGTTGTCTAGTTTAAAGGTTTTGTTGAGAATGAGATGATGGAAGTGGAAGATTTCTGGAGCATAAATAGTGGTTATCATAGACTAGTTTCCCAGAACACAGAGCCCGACCGAGACAGAGCTTAAGTACATAATGGACTATTGAAAGGTGCAGCTGCAGGGCAGCCAGGGCGAAGGGAGAGAAGAGTGAGGAGAAGGATGGGAAGCAGATGCACGGAGGTGGTTCAGCATGCTGGCCGCTCTGCACAGAGCGTTGTTCAGCAATCGACGTCCCTGCACAGGCTCTGTGGAGACTCCAGGCCTCGGAACAGTTCCCTGTGGGAGGCCCGGCGAGAGAATTTATCTGCTGCTCTCTCGTCTTCGGTCCTTTGTTGGTCAGCGTTGCCCCATGAGGAGGTGACTCCTTCTCACTCCTTGGGTGCACGACCACGGCCCTCGGGCAGCCCCTGGGGAGGGCGTGGGGTGCTTCACTGGAGTTGTGGGAGGGCCAGAGGTCCCGCCCGCAGGGTCCACTGGGCAGGTGGCCGGGGAGATGGGTGAGACCCAGGGCGGCAAGGCGGTATGTAGGGTGCGTCCATCATAGTGGCGTGTGGGTTTTGTTTTCATGTGTCGCTCCTCCTCAGGAGTTGGTCTCACCCCAGACCGCCCAGACCGCGACTGGAAACCCAGCCTGGCTTCTGCATGTCGACTTCAGCAGCCTCGTCTGCTGCTCCGCTGTTCGCTGCTGAAGCAGAGACTTTGTGGGGTTGATGGTACCCAGGTGGGGACGTGGAAGTCAGCGTGTTCAGGTCCTGGACAGAGGAGGTGTGAGGACAGATACAGATGAACATCCAGGCTTCACTAGGTTCTTAGTGAAGGAGAACATTTTCCGCAGGAAGCAGTGGTTGGAGGTATGAAGCCCGGAGCTGTGAGATGCGGCTGGAGAAGGCAGCAGGGCCAGGTTGCACAGGGCCAAGAGGGCGCCCGGGCTGAGGAGTTGGACTTGATCCTGACGGCCGTGCAGAGCCGAAGAGGCCTTCAGGAAGCCGCTGGCTGCTTTGCAGAGAGCGGTGGGAGCGAGGCCAGGGCAGTGGGGACCAGGGTGGCTGCAGGCGGAATTAGGAGCGGCTCAGACCAGTGTGATCCTGAGGAGAGCACGGTGCCTCCCACGCTTCCCTGAGGTGGGTCTGTGACAGCGGCTTGTGGGCCCGAGTGGACACCCAAGTGCGTTGGTGGCAGGGCCTCCTGCAGCCTCTGCACAGCTCCTCCTGGGCTGAGCATGCAGGTCCTCTGAGCGCCGTCATCCTGGAGGTGGCCGTGGGGCACGGGGAGCCCGGTTCAGGCAGGTTTCAGCCCTTTACAGAAGGCCGCTTGTTCCGTGCCAGGCAAGACCTGTTTGTTCTCAGCAAGCCCATGTTCTGTCTCTGGGCTGTTAAATACATTGTTAAAACTCAAGCTGTTCCATTTGGGTTGCAGCTGGGAGCTTGGCAGAGGGTCCGGCCTGATGAGGTAAGGGGAGAAGCTACGAATGCTGTTGGTTTGCAGCTGGAAATATCTCTTCACGGCCATTTGGCCAGGTTGTAAATGTCCTTTCCAAGGAGCAGGCTTCGTGGGGACCTCTGGTTGTGTGTCTTGGAATTTCCCTGTGCTTGGAAATGGTGCCAGGTGCCTGGTGGGTGAATCACGGTCGCTGGCTGTCGGCCGGCTCTGCAGGAGCTCCCCGTGGGGGGCCACACTGGGACCGCCAGGGCCCATTTGGGGTCTATTTGAGATGTGCCTGATTTGTTTCCTTTATGTTTTAAGCATATTATAAAATATTTTTTAATTCATGTAAAATTCCTTGTGGAAAGATTAGAAAAACAAATAAGCATTAACAGAAAAATAAAATTACTAAGATACAACTAGATGTACAGTTTTCTTCTTGTGTGTGTATGTGCACACACACACATTGATTTTTCCTCACAAAATGGAATTATAGAGTACATGCTGCCTGGGGCCTGCTTTTGTCACTCTGCTGTGTCTCTTCGATCTCTCCCTGTTGATGCACGTACGGCGTCATTCTTTGTGCTCTGTAACGATCTAATAGATGAAAAATATAAAATCTGCTGCTGCTGTAGTTTCCTAATTTGAGCAACTCTGCGACGAAGCATTGTTTGCTGTGTGCCTGACCCGGGACGAACATGGTTCTAAACTCTGGGGTGCGGCTCACGTGACAGTGGGCGTTGGTCCTGTGCTCAGGCTCGGTGCCCTTTGCTCCCCAAGAAAGAGAGTGTGGCGTTGCCGTCCCCAGGCCCGTTCTGCGTGGGTTTCTGAGCGTTCCTGGGAGGGCTTTCGGCAGCGCCGCACGCTTTGCGGAGCGCTGGGCAGGTGCACATGCTCCCACCTCCTGTGTTCTAAGCAAGCTCGGTACGGACGTGAGACGGCGTGGAAGTTGGCTTCTCCACACTGTGGGGCACGGTCCCTCTTGGATGCTGCCTTCTCCCAACCTGACCCTAACTAGATGACCTTTTGTACGAAGCCTTTTGGGTCCGGGGGCCCAGGACCGGGAGAAGCGGGGCGGGGCTGCAGGAAGCCCTCACTGGAGACAGCAGCGTTGGTGCGGTGGTCTGGGGGTTGCTGGGGGCACCCGCTCTCAGGCTAGCACAGCCGCCATCCCTGTCTGTCACCAGAGCGGGACTTTGCAGGCTCTGGCTAAGTCATTTCCCAAAACCCCATCTGTGGTTCTCTGGGGCTCTGCCTCCGGACGGCACATTCCAGAGAAATGACAGCTGGTGTTCGTGTAACGAAGGAACCTGGCCGCTTTTTTCTGAGCACTCCAAGGTATGACCACGGATGGTGTGAGCAAGAGTGTTTGAAAGGAATAGAGCAGCCTATGGTGTTGTATTTCCTTTGTTTTCTTTGTTTTCTCTTAGTAAATTTCCATTTGAGCACTCTGGTGGGATCTGGCTGAGGTAGAGCGGGGTGCGGATGGGCACTGCTCCTCCAGGACGATCTGGACTGCGGCGCTGAGCCGGGGGACGGTGTCTGGAGTTGCCGTGTGTGCCGAGGTCCACGACCAGTGCCCGGCCTGTGCCAGCCGCCCTCAGGGCTGGGTCTGACTGCATCTGCAGCAGCTGGCTTCTTCCCCGTGTCCGCAGCCCAGCCTGAGGTTTTGGCCACGTATGGCTGATCCATTTTTGTATCCTGAGTGCCTAGCTCCGTGCCTGGCGTGGGTCTTCGGTAAATATTTGTGAATGAGCAGTGACGGGCCAGGGAGGGCCGTGTCTGCCAGGGAGCCTCACTACAGGAAGAGCGGTGTCTGCCCAGGGCCACCACCCCGACTGCTCGCTCGCTCTCCAGCAGATGCAGGCTGGCAGGGTCGTTGTATCCCTCTTCTGGCTGTCTTTTGTATGCCTCAGTTTGGGGGTGGGTGCCCTTAGGCATATTGTGTCAAATTCTCTTTCTCTCATGCTGTTTCCTCCTTGTGGGCAGGGGCTGGGTCACCAGAACCTGGCACTGGGCCGGCCCCCATGTTGGAAGGTAAGATAGGGACAAACAGCAGTCTGTGAACTGAGAAGGAGCAGGCCAGAGTTCTGCACCGACAGATGATTGGAACCAGAGCTGACTGTACCCTCCTCACGCTGCAGGTGGTTGCCAGGAATGGGGAGGATGAGCCGTCTACCCGGGGCACGTGGCCCCCAGAGCAGGAGCGGCATTGAGCGTGCGTCGCCGGTTCCACGCTGTGTTCTTTTTGCCGGTGATCCTGAATGTGCTAGGCCAGGGTGGCGGCATGTTTGAATGCGTGTACGTGTGTGCATGTGTGTGTCTCCTCACCCACGTTGCTCTTTTTCGCTGTGTCGCTCCAGTGGGTGTCATTGAATGTCCTGCAGCCGCTGTTCTCTGTGACCATGAAACTCCGGGGGTCCCCGTTGCTGATGGCCTGGCTGGGTGTCCTGAGCTGCGTGCAGGCGGAGTTCTTCACCTCCATTGGTACGTGCCGACAGAACCGTGGTCCGCCGGGCCACACCTTCGCTCAAATGCCAGGGATGTCCCTGCCCGAGTCTTGTTCTCATCCAGAGTGGGATGGCTTCATCCGTGGTTCTGGCCAGTTCTGGGGGGGTGGAGCTTGCAGCGTTGCTCTTTTCCCCGCCGAGATCCTGGCGACGTGGGTGATTTGGGAGCCAGCTGTCTGAATCGGGTCCTGGGAAGTGCAGGCTGCACGTGGGCTCTCTGGCCTCTGTGAGCACCTTACCCCAGACCGCAGAGCGCTTCTGAGCAGCAAACCCTGTGTCCTGAGGATCCAGCTCTTCCTCTCCT